CTAGCAAAGTGGGAATAAAAGAGAACTTTTCTTAACCTCTTAAAAGGCGTCTTTAAAAATCCACAACTAAAATAATACTTCAGAGAAAAACTGAATTTTTCCCACTAAGATCAGGAATAAGGCAAGAATGACTACTTTGTCACTTGTACTCAGCACCTGCTAGAAGTCCTAGTCAGTACACTTAGGTAGAATGAAGAAATAAATGAATACAGATGGGAAGGAAGCATTAAAACTGTCTCTATTCACACATGACATCATTGTCTACATAACTGTCTCAGAGAACCTACAGAAAAAATTTCTAGAAATAATGAATGAGTTTAGTAAAGTCACAGGATCCATAGTAAACATAGAAAAATGAATTTTATTTCTACATACGATATAGAAACAGTGAACATGAAGACATCAAGAAGTTTCAAAAATACAATTTACAATAGCTTCAAGAAATTAAACACTTGTTTATAAATCTAATAAAATATGTGCAGGCTGTATATACTGAAAACTGCAAGACATTGATGAAAAAAATCAGACTCTAGATAAATGGAACAACACACCATGTTCATGAATTGGATGTTTAATATACTTTATATTTTAATTATCCCTAAATGGATGCATAGATTCAGCACAATACCTATGAAAATCCTAGTAGAATTATTTTGTAGATCTGAACAATATCTGAAATTTATAGTAAAGGCAAAGGAATTAATTAGATTAATCAAAACAATTCTATATTAGAATAAAATTGGAGGACGCATACTATCCAGTTGTAAAGTTAGCTATAAAACTGCAGTAATTAAAGTAGTGTGGTATTGGTAGAGGAATAAACACATGCGTCAGTGAAACAGAATAGAGAGTCCAGAAATAGATTCGCACAAATATGGTCAACTAATTTTTAACAAAGATGCAATTTTGGGAAAAGCAAATGCAAAAAGGTAATTTAATGGAGAAAGGGTAGTCTTTTCAACAAATGTTATTGGAGCAATTGGACATTCATATGCAAAAAATGAACCTTTATCTAAACCTCACACCATATACAAAAACGAATTATGGATATAAATGTAAATGTAAAACTGTAAAACTTTTAGAAGAAAATATAGGAGAAAATGTTCGTGATCATGGATTAGGCAAAAGACTTCTTATATATTGCATCAAAAGCATGATCTATTTTAAAAATTAACAACTTATAGTTTATCAAAATTTAAAATGTTTGCTCTATGAAAGAAACTATTAAGAGAATGAAAAGACAAACTACAGACTTGGACAACATATTACATACAAATAGCATACCTGACAGAAAGCTTGTATCCAGAATATATAACAAACTGTCAAGAATGAACAGTAAGACCACGATTTAAAAAAATCACTAATGAGAAAATTTTTAAATGGGCAAAAGATTTTATTAGACACTTGAACAGAGAAGTACTGATGGCAAATAAGCATATGAAAAAAATGCTGGACAGCATTAGCCATTGGGGAAATGCAAATTAACACTGCAGTGGCATAACTATTAGAATTAATAGCACTTTGGAAAATTGACAATACCAAGCAATGGCAAGGATGCAGAGTAATAGGAACCCTCGCATGTTGCTGTTAAGAATGCAAAATGGCATGGCATTCTGGAAAACAGTTTGGCGGCTTCCTTAAAGCTAACTTTACCCTCAGCAGGTGAATGGATAAACAAACTATGGTATATTCATGTAGTGGACTACTACTCAGCCATAAAAAAAGAATTGTTGCTACATAGAACAGTATGGATGAATCTCAAAATCATTGTGTTGAATGACAGAAGCCAGCCTCAAAAGATTACATAACTATAAAATTCTATGTACATGATATTCTGGAAAAGGCAAGATTATAGAGATGGGGGGCAACCCAAGGAAGTTTTGGTGATGATGAACTGTTGTGTTTCCTGATTATGGTGATGGTTACACAAATCTGTATTTGTGTTAAGCATATAGAACTATACCCCCCCAAAAAGTAAAAAAAAAAAACAAAAAACAAAACCCGAATCTCAGTAAATTTGAAAAATTTAAGATCAAGAAAGGCAAAAATGATGATTCTTAGAGGGCACTTTAAGCATGGTAGTTAAAGCAAGCATATTTGTTTAAGTCATATTTGTGACACAATCGAGTTGTATCACATGCACATTTTGTAGAATTCATAATCTCTTGAAGAAACAACATCTACAATACATCCATGCATTTTGTAGCATTTGAAGCATAATTCTATCATTTTAAATACTAAACTCAATGCTATAGATGTATAAACTTTGCTTCTGTAAGAGTCCATCGATTGTATATAGAATTTATTTGATCCTAAGCACATGCAGTGACTCAGTCCCTAGCTATAATGTTTGAGTGAGCAAGTATCATCTGCTTCACCAAAACTTCACCATTTTATGACTCAATTATTGGTAACATTTTGTGGACAAAAGGCAGGGACTGCCTATATGCAGGCATGTGTCATTTTACTATGGGAGTATACTTATCTGTACTTATCTGAATTCATTGGGGAAGAAACCAGTCCTTGAGGTGAATTTCGTGTCAACTAGAGGCAGCAGTGCAGTAGGAGGAGCAGTGTATATGGAATTTAGGTTATGGTCCTAGCACCCTTTTATCTTCTCTGGACTTCATTTGTCTCGTGGTTAAAACCTGACATCATTTTGAAGTTCTTTTTGTATTTGTCACACCGAATTAATTGCTGAATGTGGCCTCTTGCTGGTGTTTCCTTCTTTTTAACCTTGTTGACATTATTTAGCTGCCTCATATCCTTTCTTTTTTTCCAAAAAAATTGTCTTAAGGTTAAAATAGAATTTATATTGATCAGTGCTGTTCATTACTCGTTTGTTCATCATTTACTGAGGAGCACTGTGCTAGATACTGGAGAACTAGAGATAAAATGATTGTTCTCAGAGTTATGGTCTATTGGAAGGAAAAAACAATTATAATACAAAGTGAAGTTTTAAGGCAAGGTAAGAGGATATAGTTGGGGGGAGAGAAAATGACTACTGAATGAGACTATGAAAGCTACGTTTTAAAGAATGAGTTGGCCCCGACTAACAAAGATAAAAGATGCTGCCACGAGAGATAGCAGTTCAGAGTGGTGGTGGTGGGGGTGAGGGGTTGCTTGAGGAGTGCAGAGGAGAGGGGGAAAAGGCAGACAAGGACATACTATGTGGTTTAGATTTTTTCCTGAAAGGGTGGGGAGTCTGAAAGAGAGCCTAGTGAAGAACAGGGATGTAATCAGATGTGTGCACTGGAGAGGTTGAGTTGTCTGTGTGGTAGGAAAGGGAAAGATCATGATGATACTGGAGACCAATTTAACAGCCATTATAATAACCTAGGAGGAAATGATGAATAACAGTAGGGAGTGAGGAGAGAATTCAGACTTGAGAAATATTAAGTAGGTTGAAATACAAGGACTTGGAAAAGAATTGGAGATGGTACTTAATGGGATGCTTTCATTTAAAGTAATTAAAAGCCACACATTTGTGTGTAAATAATTGGCAAATGTTGCCCTCAGTCCTCACAGTACCCCTCTAAGGATGGTTTCTAGATATTTATTTTATTTTTATTTTATATAGAGACAAAGAAGCATCAAGAAAATGCTTTGGGACCACCTCACATTATGTTTTAGGGAGAGTAATTGATAATAACATGGTTTGAGGTGGGGAAAATCAGAGGCAGGGAGACTAGTTAGTGAACCGTTTTGAGGCTAAAGGTAGTAAGGAGGCTGCCTTAAATTAAGAACTACAACAGTGGGAGGATGTTAACAGGTGTAGGAAGGAAAGAGCTACTGACATCTTTAAGTGCAGTGACAGTGTCCTCACTCACGTCTACAGAATTTATTCTGAGATCATGAACAAGGTAAGCTACCTTAATGCTATAAAAGTCCTCCCAGAAAAGTATGTTTTCTTTGTGTATATAGACTGAAAATATCAAGTCTGGGTAATCAAGTTGTAGCTTTAAAAAGTAAAATTCTCTTTAACAGAAATGTCTGTCTGGATAGCCCGTGTTAGATGAATCACAACAACAGATCCTTTTTCTCTGAAACACTCTCTTTCTGCTCCAGCACCCCCACAATCATCTTCTTGTATGACATTGAAATTGATGTTACAGCTTGTCAAAAAAGACTATGGTTTGGAATTAGATATGGGAGACAACTAGCTCTGATCAACAGCACAGTTAGAAACTCAATCACAGGATGAGTGCCAAGTGAGGATGTGTGTCTAACAGGCGGCGTTTTAACAGCTTTGAATGCAGAGACTTTTCAGACTTTACTTCCAAGGTTGGGAAGAGGCCCCTCCTTGTGGCCTCCTGTGAAGGCTGGGCCTTCTCTAGCTGCACAGGATGTGCTGGACTACTGGGGAGAGGAGGGGCCAGGTTGACCACTAGTGGTGTGGCCTTGGGAAAATCATATGACCTCTTTAAGCCTCGGTTTCCCTCTCTATAAAATGAGCACAATAATAGTAGCTGCCTATAGGGCATTGTGAAGATAAAATCAGTTCGTTCATATCAAGCACTTACCATAATGCTTACCAAAGAAGATTTAATGAATCGATATAGTTAATTAATGTTAAATACAAACATGTGCAATCCTCACCTATTTACAACAATCGGTCTCGGTATATCTAACTTCAGTTCCAATCACTTTACTTTTTAAAGTTGCGGGGTACAAGTCAGGAATAGTTATACTTGACAGCAAAGTATAAGTACGACTTTCTTTGACTATAATTCTTTCTTGGTTAAGGATATTAGCCAGTATAGTCTCTTTCTCTCTCTCTCTCTTTTTTTTTTTGAAAGCAGGATTTATTGAGAGGACAGAAAAGCTCCCACAGTGGGAGGGGACCCGAAGGGTTTGCCCAGTCTCTATTTTTCCATGGAGTACGTGGAGAGGGGTTGGGAAATGCGAATGTAGAGAAAACAAAAAAGCCTGCCATTGTGCTAATCAGACCATGCATTTGAGAATGAACTTGCTAACATGGGAATGTTCTTATTTCTTAGGTACATTAAGGAAACAAACACCAAAAATGACCCAAATGAACTCAACAATCTCATCAAGAAAAACTCTGATGTAGTAACATGGACCCCACGGCCTGGAGCCACCCTTGATCTGGGGAGGATGTTAAAAGACCCAGCAGACAGGTATGGCTAAAATTTTTATTTATGATTTTTTTTTAATGTCATGAGAAAATGAAGGACTCATCTCTGGCCTCTTGATAGGTCTCTATCTTGTTTGTTATGCAATAAGATCCACGCATCACTTTTTATGTCTTACTATTTAAACAAAATGAGCTATCCAGTAAGTATTTCTCAAATCCTGGGGAAAAGAAGACTGAGTTTTTTCCTAAGTTTTTCACCATATATAATAGTTATTCAAATGTTTTTCTCATCTTAGACTCGAGAGTAAAGAGTGAGGAAGTTTTTTTCTTGTTTTGTTTTGTTTTTATGAAGGACCATTGCTACAGCTCAAAAATAAGTTATTTTATGTAAGTAAAAAGCAAGCAAGTTAGTTTTCATGTCAGTGCAAACATTATTCCACTGCTTATTCCATAGATAGCACAATACATACTGAAAATATAATTTAAAAAAAGTTAACAACCAGGCATGGTGATTCACGGCTGTAATTGCAACACTTTGGAGGCCAAGACAGGAGAATTTCGTGAGATCTGGAGTTTAGGACTAGACTGGGCAGCATAGTAAGACCCTGTGTCTAGAAAAAGAAAAAAAAATAACTAGGTGTGGTGACATGTGCATGTAGTGCCAGCTACATTGCAGAGAATTCCACGATCAGATAAAATTGCCCATCCATCTGTTGGCTATGCTTTGATTAGTATACTAAAAGCACCATATATTAGAGACACAAAATTTTGGGAATATCTTGAAGATAAGCTGAAGTCATTCATACACTCAACAAATATTTATTGAGCACCTGCTATGTACTCAGTCAAGGTTGCTACTTTCATCAAACTTATATTCTGATTAGAGTGAGGAGGCAGGAATGTGCAGGTATCTACAAAGTCCATATGGCCAGATTGTATTCAGCATTTCCATTATTTAGTTCTTTGGACTAAAATGGTCCAGAGCCGTGGTGTTCAAGCCCCGCCCCCCACCATAAACTTTTCTCTTCAATTAAAATCTGACTTAAAAACCTGCTGCACTAAACAATTAAAAGGTGCTTCTTTGGCTTAGGCTATAGTGGGGCCCCTGAGAATCATCTGAATAGAATCAAAACTACTAGTCTGGCTGACTTTTGCTATTTAAACTTTTGTCTTCATTACTTATTGCTTTCTTTCACCATTCTTATACCTTTGTGTCTTTAAGCAAGGGCATCATAGAGCCTCCAGAAGGAACTAAAATTTACAAGGATTCCTGGGACTTTGAACCTTATTTGAAAATCTTGAATGCTGCTATAGGAGATGAAATATTCCTTCACCCGTCCTGGATAAAAGAATATTTCACTTGGGCTGGATTCAAGGATTATAACCTTGTGGTCAGGGTATGGTATTAAGTACTATTTGTCTTTGCTTTCTTGAGTAATGTAAATATGTGAAAACCTCTTCATTTTCCAATTTGCTTCTCAGTAAGCATACCCTAAACCCTACCAACTGCCTAACAAGAACAGATTTCATAATATCAACAATCTCTTGTTGATTTATGGAATGTTCTGACATCCAGCATAGTTTTTCTTTTGGATCATCTTTTATCTCATATTGCCATGCATTTGTTGTTGTTTGTTTTTGTGTTTATGGGTGTTTTGGTTTTGTTTTGGCAAGGGAGGAACAGCTATTTAAACTGTGGTGTTAGAAGGTGAGATCCACATAGAGAGGTGATTACCTGGATTAAGGTGAGATAGAATAGAAGCAGGTAACTCATTTCTGTAGCTGTGTGGAGGCCAAATTGCACAAACCAAGAAGTAGGCCTAGTCTAGAGCTTAATCTAGTCCCAACAAATATGCACAGAGCCACAAGCCAAGAGTTCAGGTTATAACCTGGTCACCAAAACTGGAGGGTTATATCCAAAAGCAAACATGGACCAGGAGTAACCGCAAAGTCGGTGAATAGCTAGCCACCCTGATTTCTATGAAGTGCCTGAAGTTGTGCAGGGAAACAAAGCTTATGGATGGCATCTGGAAATAGACAGTACTCACATTCTTGGAGAAAAGTACTGGTTACCTTCAGGAATGAGACCTATGCCCAGGTTTACCTTTCAGTTCCTGAACATTAATGCCAGGCAACATTTGCTAGTCTCAAAAACAGTATTTCCCAAAAACCTACGTGGGGTGTCATTGGCAGTCTGTGACAAGTTTTTGCTGGTCAGTAATGAAGTAAGTAAGAGAGTACATATACATGTTAGTACAAAGATGCCAACTCTTTCTTCTTGGAATGAATTTTTATTATTCCATGCTTAGGTCCTTTCTGTTGGAGGGACGTTAAAACATTCTTCCTTTAATGCAATAAAATGATAGCAGCTGTAAGATTTTTCTCAAAAATCTTCACTACTACCTTCCAATTTATTGGTATTATCTATCATTTAAGGGCATTTGAATCTTATATATTCGAATTTTTAAAGACCATGACCACCTGATTAATATTCTTCTTCCCTTTACCATGTTGTCATTTGCACAGATGATTGAGACAGATGAAGACTTCAACCCTTTTCCTGGCGGATATGACTATTTGGTTGACTTTCTAGATTTATCCTTTCCAAAAGAAAGACCATGCCGAAAACATCCCTATGAGGAAGTAAGACGCAACGCTGGTGGAAGTCTTCCTTCCTTCCTTCCTAAATGAGCTCTTTATAATAATTTTAGATTTACAGAAAACTTGGAATGATAGTACAAAGTTTTATCCATATCTCATATTACTATGGTACATTTGTCACAACTAACAAACCAGTTTTGAAACATTGTTAGTAACTAAAGTCTATACTTGCTTCTTTTTGAGCTATTCCAAAAACCTGCTCAACCTAAGCAGTTGTTAGACCTGCAAACATTATCTCTGCTTTCCTTTTCCTTCTGTCCAGAATTGTCTCTTCCCCAAGTGAATCTAGTAGGTGTCTTTGGAAAGGGAGTTAAATCAACATAAACCAATTTTGAACAAATGCCTCACCTGTGGCAGCATGATATAAAGGAAAGAGCCTTGGCTTTGGAGACTTTGTCAAGATTGGGACTGGTGCCCCTTCCCTGTGGACCATGATTACAGACTGTGAAGCTTTGAACAGATGATTTAACCTGCCCAAGCTTTGTTTTCTTGTTTACCTTCCATAGGGTTTGTTTCCACCTTACCAGTTTGTTGTGATAGTCAAATGACATAATACATGTGAGCGTGCCCTGTAATATTAAACCTATATGAATGCAAGAATCATTAAATAAGTTACAGGATATACAGTCTGCTTTTAAGTTTATTGTACATGTCATTTAAATGTGCAAAGCCCTAATTATAGAGGTTTAAATATACCTTCATGTAATAGATGTGTTCTTAAGCTAATTTTAATTAGTTGACATATTTTATGTTTAGTGAAGTACTTGCTATTGAAGAAATCCTATGTTGAAACTTCAGTAAAACCAATAATCTACTACCTTAATTTATGGGTCTTAAAAAATTGCGTTTTGGCTGGGCTTGGTGGCTCATGCCTGTAATTCTAACACTTTGGGAGGCCAAGGCAGGAGAATCAATTGAAAGGTCAGGAGTTCGAGATCAGCTGGGCAATACAGTGTGACCTTGTCTCTACAGATTTTTTTAAAAAAATTAACTGGGTGTGGTGGCAGGCACCTGTAGTCCCACCTACTCAGAAAGTTGAGGCAGAAAGATTGCCTGAGTCGAGGAGGCCGAGACTACAGTGAGCCATGACCATGCCACTGAACTCCTTCTGGATGACAGACTGAGACCCTAACTCAAAAAAAGAACAAACTAGATTTTTGCATATAAGAAAATCCTGTTTGAAGCACTATATAGATGATAAACAGGCTTACAACCATTTTAAGCAAAATGAATCTTTGCATTTATTGCTTTTTATATCAAATACTTTTCTAGATTGCTATATGCTAAGCACAGTGTTAAACACTTTGCAGATATTAAGTCATTTAATCCATCAACAGCCCTATGAACAGCTATTACAATCTACCCCATTTTATAGATAAAGAAACTGCAATTCTGAGGGGTGCGCTAACTGGCTCATGGTCATATAGCTAGTAAATGGTGGTGCAGGGCTTTTAACTCAAGCAGTCTAGCTCTACAATCTATGCCATTAGCCACTGTGTTGCCTCTCAAATCTGAATTCATAAAATCTATGAATTAAGGTGTCTGTTAGACTTTTGTTTGTTTGTTTTTTTGTTTTGTTGTGTTTTTGTTTTTTTTTTTAAATTGGAATCTCACTCTTGTCACCCAGGCTGGAGTGCTATGGCACACTTACGGTCACTGCAGCCTTGACCTGCTGGGCTTAGGTGATCCTTCCACCTCAGTCTTCCAAGTAGCTGGATCTACAGACATACACCATCATGCCCAGCTAGCTTTTTTTTGTTTGTTTGTCTTTGTTTTTGTGATATATTATAGAGATGAGATCTCACCAAGTTGCCCAGGCTGGTCTCAGGCAATCTTCTCACCTCGGCCTCCCAAAGTGCTAGGATTACAGGCTGAGCCACCATGCCCGGCCATCTGGTAGACTTAAAAGAGATTCACCTTTGACATTTTTAACATAACACATTCATTTAAAGTATTTAATTTGAAAAAGTGTCACTTTTTCACAGCTTATCATGATGCATCTGCCAGATAAAACAAGCAGCTGCTGTTACAGATATAAGTACCCTGTAGGGTAAACCATCCTGCCTGCCATGTGCATGGTGGGGTGCAATGTGACTCAAGGGCTTTTATCTCCCAGAGGGTTTTAGTGGACATTCTGTATGCTGAAGTTTGTTTAAAGAGGCTATGCCTATTCTTGAAAGAGCGCCTCTTCTTGCTACCTGGAGTCCTCTCACGTTGCCTCCCGTCTCCAGCTTTTGGGGGAATTAATTTATCACAGAAACAAAGAACAGAGTTCCATATGTTCTCACTCAGAAGCAGACCTTGAAAAATTAAAATGCTGCAAGAAAGCGATTGGCAGTAGTGGGAAACTGTCGGGGGTGAGGGGGTTGGGGGTGGGATTGGCAGTTGAGGGAAACTGCTAGAGGAAGGAGGGGCATCAACAAGGGTACCTGCATGATCAATGTTTATATACCTAACTCTGAATTGTACCCCACATCTTTATAATAAAAATTTTAAAAAATAGAAAACAGATGCCAGGCAGATCCTCTTTTGTTTGTAGATGACTTTTAAGAATTGAGGGACTCATCCATGTTTACCAATAACAAGACTTTTCTCAACTGTTTCGGGGCTTCCTTGAATAGGTGTAGGATTTGTTATCCAACAGGCTTTACTTGGAGGCAGGGGTTACACACTTCAGTGCTCACAGACTGTCCAAGGCACATCTTGTAAACAGGGGAATCTGGGTGGGGATTTTAAGCAAAATGAATTGTTGCATGTAATGCTTTATATATCAAATGTCTTTTCTGACTTGCTACATGTTAAGCACAGTGCTAAACACTTTGCAAATACTGTCATTTAATCCAACAATAACCCTATGAACAAATACTACAATCTGCCCCATTTTATAGATGAAGAAACTGTAGTTCTGAGGCACAAGATAACTGGCCCACGGTCTTATAGCTAGTAAATGGTGAAGCCGAGTAGGGATCGTGTCAAATGGAAAGCAAATGCTGTATCAGATGGGGCCCCAACTGATTTCTAAGTTTTTCAGAGAACTTGGACATCTGGATTTTCATGCGAAATACCTGGATTTATAAATGTAGGAAACTAAAGCAAGTTTTTTTATTTTAAAGATGTGGAGTACATTTCAGGGTTAGGAATACAAATGTTCATTATGCAGTTACCCCTGTTGATGAGGTGTGCCTCTCCCTCCCCTGGCAGTTTCCCTCAACTGCCAATCCCACCCACCCCCCCTTCCCTAGCAGTTTCCTACTACTGCCAATCCCTTTCTTATAGTGTTATGATAACTGTTCAAGGTCTACTTATGAGTGAGAACATATGGTACTCTGTTCTTTGTTTCTGTGATAGATCACTGGGTATGGTAGACTATAAATCCACCCAAGTTGCTGCGAAGTTCATATGTTTGTCCTTCTTTGTGACTGCATAATATTCCATTGTGTATACATAACGCATTTTTTTATCCAGTCCAGCTTTTAAAGGACTATAGACTACATCAAACAAGAGTTAGGCTCTATTTGCCAGGGGATCACCAGTATGCTTTAAGCTATGAAGGGGGAGAGGAGCCAGCTAGCAGGGTAGGGGACCCCTAAGCGCCAAAATGTGGTGGCCCTCGCTCGAAGCATCACAAATATAGTACCTGTCCTCATTCTCCCCCCAAAACTGATGACATTTATTCAGATATCTATCTGCATGTATTTGGCCCAGGAGTCATGTGCAGGAGTAGGGAAGGGACCAGCTGTCTCATGGACATACTTTTGTATTTGTCTGTCCTTGCTGTCATCCACAGTGCCTACCTCTCTTTCTCTGCATCTGTGAATGCCCCTCCCATTCTCATTGGGATTCTGCAGCCTCTGCCCTGCTTCTTCACTTTCCACTGTCTACAGGCTTTCTAGATTTGCATAATTCATGGAAATTCCCTGATTGTCCCTGACTCACTTCCGTTTCTCTTTACCGTGGCAGTTTATTCCTTTATCATTGCTTTGCAACAATTTAGTTGGATCCAAAAACACAGAGGAGCCAGGTTATGCATGCAGTTGGTTCATCATTATGAACCAGTAGTCCTCTCAGTGCCAGTGACATGCCCTTTTGTTTTCCTTCTCTTTCTGACTAGTCTTCTGTATTCTTTCAGAGTCCTCTTTCTTCAGCTACCACTTAAGTCTCTTGTTTTTCTCTGGGATTCTATGCTAATTCCACTATTCTTCTCAAGTCCCTTCTTGGGTGAAGTCATCTGCTAGCAGCATGTATCTGCTAATGAATTGAAAAGTCAACATGTCCAGCTCAGACCTTGCCCTGGCTCCCTCCTATATGGCTAAACTTTGCATTTGTAATAATCAACTGCCTGCTAGGTATCATCACATGGAATCAATACTCAGAACCTCATTTCAACTTGCTCCAAGTCCAGCCCCTCATCTTTCTACTCAAAACATTTTTTCTCTTTTTCATCTGACTGCTGGCAAAATCATTCCCCAAGTCTGCCAAGAGACAAACAAGGGAGTAAACTTTGACTCTTCCAATTTCCCACATTGCCAGATATACTCAGTCACCAAGTTCTTACTATTTTGCACCCCAAATATTTCTCAAATTTACTCCCGATTCTCTATGTATTCCTCTCCACACTGAAAGGCCAAGAAAGGGCATCTATTCTCCATTGGAAGGAACTAGGTCTCAGTACTGAACCCTTAGCTAGGCAGACCTAACCTGGTCAGATTAAGGTCTGTTGACAAAAGGAAAAATCCTCTGACCTGTGCTTTTAACCCTGATTCACACTGGATATCATTGTTTTATAGAAATGGTACAGGAAAGGGAAATACATTCAAAATGCCATGTGTTATTTAATAGCCTGCCATTTATGAAGTTTGCCTTTACTGGCATTAGCATGGTTTTTGCCAGGGAAAAAAATAATGTCATGCAGATACTGATAAAGCTCCCATAAACCTTAACACGTGTGCTGATGGATTGTTAAAACCATGTCCAATCTCAGGATAACTTCCCTTTATGTTCTTTATATAAATTATCTCTATTTTCCTTACAGCAGTCCTGTATAATAGAGAAACTGAGACTTAGCAAGCTTAAGGTCAAAAAATTAGTAAGTGTAGGGCTGAGACTCAAGACCATCTCTTCTTGTCTCCTAATCCTGTGCTCCTTTGACTATGCAATGGCTTCACACTCAGGAGTTGGGATTCTTTAAGGGTAAGGGTCTCAACTGTGTGATTTAAGGTAATTCTGCTTGCCTCTGAACATTCAGGTAGAGACTTGAACACTCCACTTTCAGAATGACATTGCAGACATTTATTGAACACTATCTATGTTCTAAGTGTTTATATACATTGACACATTTAATCCCATAATAATCCTATGAGGAATGTTCTATTATTGTCTTTATTTTATGGATGAGGAAACCAAGACACAAAATGGAGACCAAGGTCACACAGCTAGAATCTGGATTTGAACCCAACACAGACTCCAGAATCTATTCTCTCAGCCTCTATGCTCTTGGCTCTTCAGCTATTTCCTGTTTCCCTTCCTTTGGTTTCTGCTGCACTCAGCTTCTTTTTCTCCTCAGCATGTGCTATCTACTCCAAGAGACTTCTCTCCTTGTCTCTCCATGTCCCTGCCATCATGGGCAGCTACTTCTTTCCAGGGACAGGAGGGTTCAACTTTCAGCTTCCTGGGTCGTCCCTACTAATTGTTCCATGTCTATTTCAGATTCTTAGCCGGGTGGATGTCATCAGACATGTGGTGAAGAATGGTCTACTCTGGGATGACTTGTATATAGGATTCCAAACCCGGCTCCATCGTGATCCTGACATATACCATCACCTGTAAGTCTGAAAACATCGGTCACACTCTAGGATTTATTTAAGCAGAGTCAGTGACTGCCCCAGCATCCAAATTCTGACTTATATGTGAGATTCCTTGATTAGAGCTTCATTCTTTTGGTATAGTTTGTTGAAAAGCAAGTCAGGTAGGAGGCATAACATTAAAGAGTCATTTATGCATTCTTGTGAATGTGTGCTTGATCCTTTTGGGAAGTGGTTTTTGGTCTAAGAAAGGGAAATATATTATAAGAGGGAAAGGATGTGTTTGCCAAGACAAGAATGAGGAGAGGTTATTGAATTACTGTGATCTCCCATTTCACATTTTCACCTGTGCCCAACCCTGAACATGAATTTGGTAGACTGAGTGGTTTAGGGGACTGATCACCTACACTTCAAAACTGTGTAAGTCTTTAAGGTCATATTTGGAATATTTGAGCTAAAATCTCAGAGGATAATTTGCCATTTTTATATTTGTAAAATAATTACCAAAGGAAGGAGCTATTTTTCTTATTACCATAGATCCTTTGAAAAATGCAGAAATATAATGTTTAAATATCAATCATTTAAAATGTATTAACAAAACTCACTATCTAGTTTATACCCTGAGCTTGCAAGGACAGGCATTTATTAAAATTTCTTTTTTTACTTATTTATTTTTGAATGTTTTAAAATTATATGAAAAAATTTAAAGACTGTAAAAGAATTTAAAATTAAGGAAGTAACTCCACAGGCACCTCTCAGGAAAGCCTGTCTGTTTCTTGCTCCTCCCTCAAGCCATTGTTAAGGTAACTGTTGATAACGGTTCAGTGGTATCCTCCCAGACCCATTTCCTGGCATATCAACATTTCTCTAAATATATTGCTTTAAGGGCGGGGCTCAGTGGCACGTGGCTAAATCCCAGCACTTTGGGAGGCGGAGGCGAGAGGATTACCTGAGTCTAGGGTCTCAAGACCAGCCTGGGCGATTTGGTGAGACTTCATCTCTACAATAAATTTAAAAGAAAAATTAGCTGGGCATGGTGGTGCCCATCTGTGGTTCCAGCTACTTACAAGGCTGAGGCAGAAGGATAGCTTGAGCCCAGCAGATTATGACTGCGGAGGCCATGAGTGTGCGATTGCACTCCAGTGTGGCAACAGAGTGAGACTCCAACTCAAAACAATAAAAATAAATAAATTTATTGTTTTAAATAAAATTTCCCATAGAGTTGGTGGGGGAGAATGTTATTGTTCCTCTTGTTTTTAAGCAAGCCTGGTACATTTGTTCTGCAACTTGTATTTTTTACTCATCAATGTATCTTAGGCATCCCTCTGCATTGGGACATGTGGGTCAGCCTCAAACCTTTTAATGGCTGTAAAATATTCCAAGTTATGCTCATTTTCAGCAGAGCTTATACCTGACTTATTGTTCTGGAAAAAGAGGAATGTGACAACCTAGGGGAGTGGATTCTGGAGATTTTTATTTTCTTAAGAGAATAATTTCATCTTGAAAACTTCTAGGCTATGATGCTAAGTACTATCTGGTTATATTGTGTTTTGATAACAATGGTCATAAATATAAGAGGATGCCATCATGAATCTTGGGAGCCAGTCATAGTCCACTTTATCTTTGTTGTTCTTAAAATGGGATTTGTGAGTTTACTAAACATTTTTCTGGTTATAAAAATAACATATATCAACTGAAGAAAATTTGTAAAAATATTTTAAAATACAAAAAGTAATAATAAACCCACAAATAATCCCACCACCCAGAAAGAACAATTAATATTTTGGTGTCTAGTTCACCATTCTTTTTCTGTTTATAAGCACATATACATGTGCTTCTTATACAAATAAGCTAATGCCATACATACTTTTATACCTGCTATTTATCAGAGCAACTTTCCACATTGTTTTGTGTACCCAAATCATTTTTAATGCCTGCCTATCTGATACCAGAAACCTGTATTCATACTTTAACCAATCTGTGATTGATCCCTAAGTTGTTTCTAGCTCTTCAATATTCGAAAAAATAATCATGTAGGCAAATTATCATGTAGCTGTATCTTACACACATTCATTTCCTTAAGATAAATCCATAGGAGAGTGGAACTGCTGGATCCTAGGCACACAGTGTTTAGGCTTTTGGTACACTCTGCCAAATAGTTCTTCAGAAAACCAGTTCATCTTTTCATAAATAACTCGTGAGAGGACACAATTACCTGCACCTTTACTACTACTAGCTCCTAATGCTTTTGTGTATAGCATATAAATCTAGATATGGGAATTTCTTTAAAGCTAAGCACGTTGTAGTACTGTGTCTTAAAAATAGATAGTCATCACGTTTTAAGGGTCTGCCTATATTCAACAACCTGAAAATTTTAAGCTACGTGAAACAGTAGAGAAATGCTATCTCTTGGGGAGAGCTGTGCACCAGGTACCAAACAGATCCTGACAAAGCAATAGGCATGGAAGTTACCAAAACATATTTCCCTGCTTTATTTATCTCCCTTACAGGTTTTGGAATCATTTTCAAATAAAACTCCCCCTTTCGCCACCCAACTGGAAGTTATTCCTGATGCACTGTGAGCAGAGTGGGTCTGGGATTCCACAGGTAAGGCATCCTGTGGGTTGGGGAGGCACTCTCCCATGCATCCCATGACACCCTCTTTGGCACCTAAATTAAGCAGGCGCACTGCCTGTCAGGAAACCTGACTTTCAGAAGATTGAGAAAAGCTAACATTGCAAGAAGAACATTCAAATTTTAAAATGAGCAAATAAAACAAATAGTGAGTTCATTCAGGCCAAAGTTCATAGAATCTTTGGTCTGGTTCAGTTGAACATATAACCAATTAATAAATAAAATAAAAACTATTCCAGGATGTCAGTGTTTAGAACGTAATCTTGAGCACACAAGGAAAAGCAGTAACAAAAACTGAAGAGACAAAAACGGAAAACAGAGAGTAAGATGGAAAATATCATCTCCCCATTTCCAAAGAACTTCTCCTCTTTTGAATTGATGAAGATCAGCTGGTCTGGCACAAATTAGATTTGATATTCCTTCCTACAGCCCAAGATGTGAGTCTATTAAGTAAATTACAGAACCTGTGTCCTCATGCTTGTGATCAAAAGAACCATAAAATATTACTACAAAGATATCAAACTCCTTGGCTCATGCATTAGTTATATATATATTCATTTATTTATTACACAAACAGCTATCCCATTGCATTGTATTGCCACACTCTGTCAATCTTCTTCCCCAGTAGACACTGAGTTTCTTAAAAGTAGAGTCTGTTGAGGCAAACTCTCATAAGCAATATAATTATTATCCAAACTGAGTGTCAGAAATTCTGAGGAGAGAAAGATTACATCTGACATTTTGAGATGACCAGGAAGAACACTGTAGAGAGGTAGGATTTGGGGGAGCAAGGGTTAGGGAATTAGGGCAGTGGCTTAAAGATGAGGGAAAGTTTTTTAATAAGCTGAAATAGGTGGGAGGGATGGTAGGAAGAATATTCCAGACAGAAACAGTGGTGTGAAATGAAAAGGTAGAAAAAAGCAAGGTGAACGTGAGCAATGGCCAGTCTTCCTGGTATGGCAGAGAAGTAAGGAAAACCAGGAAATGTGCATGAGCGGGAACTGGGAGATTAAGGAGAGTCGAGGGCTCAATGCAGATGCTGAACAAGTTCGTAACTTGTAAGAAAGCAGAAGGCATGAATGGTAAGGAGGCAGAAGATAGATAGAATGCCAACTTCAAGGTTTTAGAGGTGAAGCAGTTCTGAAAGGAGCCAGGGGAAAGGTGCTTCTTTATAAGTAGGTAAATGGATTGGAGCAGAGATGAAGGTAACAGAAATTGAGAGTCAATGTGTGTATTTGGAAGTTGCCTTATCAAGGAGGCAATCAAGTATGGCAGTCAATATCTCAGACTTGGATTATGACTTCTTGAGTTAAAATTCTGGCTCTGTCACCATCCATATGACCTTGAAAAATTACTAGACCTCCTTGTGTCTCAGGTTTTCATCTGTAAAATGAATATAGTAATAGAATTTACCACACAGTGTTGTGTTATAGGTGTAAGGCGTGTCTGGATGAGCAGCACATGGTAAGTGAATAATAGACATTAACAGCATCAGCCTTATGAAATAAACAGGAGAGTCATGCAACCCATGTAACTTGGTAAATCCCAAAGAACTTGAGAGAAGAGACATATTCCAGTTTACATTCCAGTTCTAGATTCTCACTTACCTTAAAGCATCATGGACTATATAGCTTAAACTAAAGAATAAGAATTAATATTTGCCTCAATGCAATAAGAAAATGAGAAAGTATTAAAATGAGATTCATAGTTATTCATTAATAATATCTTTAATTCACAGGAATGCAAAGCAGCATGAAAAATTCATGAATTCACTGATCAATTAAAAACAAAACTTAAAAAACCAAGTGTACTATTGTTACATCTTGAACACAAGAAGTTTATACCAAAGAGACTATGCTTTAAGACTTCAGTAATGGATCAACTATATGTTGCAGCTATGATGTATTCGAGATTTATTTTCTGATTATCTATCCTACCTCTAATTCTGAAGATATAAGAATTCTTTGCTGGAATTTGTCTTCTGAAATATCTAGATTCATACTTGGTAATAGAATCTTATTTAAATTAACATAAATAAGGTTTGATTATTCTGGCTCATATCACTCATTATGCATAACAGAAATGCTTGGAATTCAGGGATTATATTTTGTGATTTATACTATATAGTAAATGATTCAATTTTCACTGAAAATAAATTGAATGTATATCAACATATGTTAAAATACCTATGATGAGCAAATTAAAGATTATTTTAAAATGTGAATTTGTTTTCTCACCACCAAGTCTGTATCTCAGGCTGTCTTTCCAATTCTCTCCTTCTGACACCCTGACTCCAACAATTCCTTGATATCACCAGAATCTCCAACCCACTGACCCAACATCAGCCCCTTGGGTCCTCACTTCCCTTCTTACTCTTCTTCCTGTGCATACTTCATGTCCCCCGCTCTCTTCCTGTCTCTAGTATCTTGTGTCTTACTTCCAACCCAAATGAAAACAAAACAAAACAAAAACATGAAATCTTCCTTTCTGCTGTGCTCTTACATCTACTGTCAGTGAATCCTGTCGCCTCCATGTTCAAAACATATCCAGGTTCTGACCACTCTCCACCACCTCCACTGCTACCAAAATCAGGAGAAGAAGGAGCCCTGTAAAGGTAATCTTGGCATTGGGGACTGACTTTCCTCCAAAGATATCTGCCAATTCCATAAAAGATCAAAAAGCTGAAAACCTCAACATTTGCTCAAAGCCCCTCAAGGGGTTGCTGAGAAAGTCATTCACTGAGAGGTGCCTCAAGGGCTGTTCAATCCTAATTCGAAGTCACCCTAAGGGTGCCAAGGAAGCTGCTGGGCCCTGCTGCTCTCCTCGCACTTCTGGAGCCAGCTCTAGAGAAATCACTCACTTCTGGGGCATGGCAAGAGGGGGATACTGGAGCCAGGAGGAAAAATTTCTTCCTTTCGTGCCCCTCCAGGGCCTCTGCATACATGGCTTGACTTTATACCAGTTGGCAAAGGAGAAATAATAATATTTATTTTTGCATAGTAGGCAACGAAAAGTGGGTTTGGATCTGAGAAGCAATAAATTCATAACTGACAGACTTGATAAGAATGCATGTTGTGATGTTCTAGGGTAGCCACAAAAGGAATGAAGAATGTGTAGCTATAAAGATAAGAGGGAATATGAAATAATTTAAACATATTAATCTGAAAGAAGACAATAAAAGAAAAAAATAACAGAACCCTTGGGACAAATAGAAAGAAAACTTCAAGATGGTAAATTACATTAGCAATTACATTGAATGTAAATGGATTAAATACTCTTAAAAAAGAGTGATTGGCAGTCTGGACTTAAGAAAAACAGCAATATTCTTTGCTGCTTACAGGGAAAATCTATAAAAGATAAGTATGCTAAAAACCTGAAAGAAAAAAGATGGAGAAATATATACTATAAAACAATAAAAAAAAGAATGATAGTGTAGCTGTCTTAATCTCAAAGTGGAACACTTTATAATGATAAAAGTTTTAGTTAACCAGGAAGATGTAAGAATCTAGGCAAATAACATAACCTCAAAATATAAGAATAATGTAACTAAAAAAGAAATAGAAAAATTCAAATAATAGTGAAATATTTGAACATACCTCTCTCAGTAAATGGTAAACCAATCAGACAAAAAAAATCTCTAAATATTTGGAAGACTTGAATAGTACAACTAAAACATTTGATCTAACTGACACATAGAGAAGACTGCTCCTAACAACCACAGAGTACCCATTCTTTTCAAGGATTCACTAGTCTTTTACACAGAATAACTATATGCTGACTATATATTAGCAGCAACTCTCTACAAATTTCAAAGATTTAAATCATATACATTGGATTGTCAAACCACAAGGCAATGAAGATGAAAAAGTCAATAATGAATAAGATAATTATAAAATCACCATGTATTGGAAATTAAGAAATATATTCTAAATTAGCAGTTTTCAAACTTTATTCCAAAAAATTATAAAAGACCTAGATAAAGGGAAACATATAATCGTTTCATGAATGATATATAATATTCAGGAGAAGTCAGCTTTCCTCAAACTGATTAAATAGAGTCAATGCAATCAATAAAAATTCTAGTCCGGGTGTAGTGCCTCTGGGAGGCCAAAGCAGGAATATTGCTTGAACCCAGGAGTTTGACACCAACCTGGGCAACATAGTGAGACCTCGACTTTACAAAAAGAAAAAAAAATGAAGCTTAGTGGAGTGCGCCTGCAGTGCCGGCTACAGCCTGGCTCTGTAGAGTGAGACCTCAACTCAAAAAGAAAAATATTCTAAAAGTAATTTAAAATTGAAATTGATAGGTTGATTCTAAAATTTATATGAAAATACAAAGTTTCAAGAGTAATCAGTGCACTATTGAAGAAAAAAAGGTAAACTTTACGCAGTCTCACATTTTTCTAGGTCTGTGGTTCTCACACTTTAGCATGCATCAGAATTACCTCAGGAACTTGTGGCTCCAAGCTCAGTGTCTGATTCAGTAGGTCTGAGGTGAGTTCCAAGAATCTGCAATTCAAACAGTTTCCCAAGTGATGTTAATGCTGTTGGTCAGGGGACCACACTTTGAGAACGACTGTTTTAAATAACCCATAATCTAAGAAGAAATTCCAATAAAAAAAATTTGGACCAAATGATAATGAAGGTACAATATCTCAAAATCTTTACGGCAAACTTAATCATGCTTACTGGGACTTAAAAAAAACAACAGAGACACATAACCTTAAGTGTCATATAAAAGAAAACATGAAAGGCTAAAAAAAAAAAAAAAAAAAAAAAGAACTAAAAATTGTTCTCAAATGAAGCCCCAAAAAAGTAGAAGGAAATTAAAAATTTGGGGCAAAAAGTAATGAAAAAGAAAATACACATACACTACAAAAGATCAACAAAGTCAAAATTTAGTTATTCAAAAAGACAACTAAAATTAGTAAGCCTCCTGATTTTTCAAAAATTAAAAAAAATAAAAAACTAATATCAGGAATAAAAAATATAAATAATAAGATGATAGAATAAACTTTGTATGAATAATTTTGAAAATGTAGACTAAAATAGAGAACGTCCTAGAAAAATGCTAGTTACCAAAACTAATATAGGAAGAAAAAAAAAATCCCAGTAGTTGAATAACTATTAAAGTAATTGAACCTATAATTAAATATCTTTTCAGAAAGCAAACTTCAGTCTCAGATAACTTTACCAATAAGGTTGTCCAACATTAGGGAAGATATAATGCAAATTAAGTTTTAAACTCTTCTAGGAAATACATAATGAGAGCACTTTCCCCTGGCTTGTTTTTTGATGCCTACATAACCTTGACAGCAATACATGACAAGAGCATTTTGGGAAACAAAAATTTTAAGGCAATTTTAGAAACAGATGCAACATTCTAAACAAAATATCAGCAAATAGAATCCAGGATTTTTAAAAACAGGTTACTTAATCAAAACTCAGTTAGATTTAGTCCCAGAATGCAAGGTTAGTTTCCTATGTAAAAATCAATCAACATATTTTACTGCATTAACTGGATAATGAAGAAAAGTTATAGGGTTATTGCAGTATAGGTACAAAAAGCATTAGGTACATGCTGTAATATCCATTCATAAACTTAAAGAGAAAAAAAGCAACAACTCTTAGTAAGTAGGAATAGAAAAGATTTTTCTCCAAAAGAAAAGAAAAGAAACACTACAGCCAGTACTTTACTTAGTGGTGAAATGTTTACATCTTTCCTATAAGATTGGAAGTATTGCAAGGATATCAGCCATCAATACTTCTGTGCAATATGTTGGAAATTCTAGACAGTGCAAATAAGCAAGGAAAACAAATAGAAGGTATAAGCATTAAAAAGAAGAAATAAAACTGCCATTAGCTGCAGATGATATTATTTTAACAAAGAAAATTCAAAACATTCTACAGATAAGATTTTAAAATTAATAAATGTGTTCAGTAATATTCCTGAATATAAGATCAATATACAGAAAATAGCCTAATATTCCTGTATTGGTAATAAGCAGAAAACAAAATTTTTAAGAGATACCATTAACAACATCATCAAAAATATCAAATACCTAGGAACAAATCTAACAAAATATGTGCCAGGTCTTTAAGCAAAAAACTACAGAACAATATTGATAGAAATAAAAAACCTAAATACCAAAATTAAAGACCTAATAGAGGGATAGGCCATGTTGGTGAACTGGAAGACTCACTGGATAACAAGATTTATAAAACTATAGTAATTTGACAATGTGGCAGTGGCACAAGGGAGACAAATAGATCCATGTAACAGAATGGAAAGTATAAAAACAAAATCAGGGGCCAGATGTGGTGGCTCACACCTGTAATCCTAACACTTTAGGAGGCCAAAGTGAGAGGATGGTTTGAGGCCAGGAGTGTGAGACCAGTCTAGGCAACATAGCCATACCCCGTCTGTACAATAAATGTCTTAGCCAGATGTGGTGACTTTTGTTTATAGCCCCAGCTACGCGGGAGTCTGAGGCGGGAGGATCCCTTGAACCCAGGAGTTCCAGACTGCAGTGAGTTATGATTGTGTCATTGCTCTCCAGCCTGAGTGACAGAATGAGACCTTGCTCCAACTAAAAAATAATAATAACTCAGCCACATATGGATATTTCCTTTAAAACAAAGATGGAACTGCAGATCAATAGAAAAAGTACAGTCTTCTAAAATAAATAGAGCCGGATGAATTGGATATCCATACAGGGAAAAGGGTATCAACCTTGTGCCCTATTTTACAACATAAACAAGGATCAATGCCAGGCAAATTATAGATTTAAATGTGAAAGGTGAAACAATAAAACTTCTAGAAGATAATATAGAGGAAAGTTTTTGTGTTCTTGCTGACAAGATTTCTTAAACAGGACAGAAAAAAAGCACTAACCATAAAGAAAAACAACTTGAAATTAGACTATGCTAAAAATAAACTCTATTCATGGTCCAGTAATCCCACTCTTAGCTGTTTACACAATAGAAATGAAAACATGTTCACACAAAAACCTAATCAATAATGTTGGCAGCAGCTTTGTTCCAAATTACTCCTCAACTGGAAACAATACAAATATCTTTAGCACATGGATAAACAGACTGTAGTTCATCTATATAATGGAATACTATTCAGTAACTAAAGGGAATGAACAATTGATACATGGAACATGAGTGGATCTAAAATGCGTTACACTACAGGAGAGAAACCAGACTCAAGAAAAACCT